AAAGTCAATGTTGTACTACCCTTTATAAACAATACTATCAAACAACATGAATTGATCTCGCTTAAATGTCATGGCAGTAAATAGTTGAAATAATTCTATTAATGAAGTGAAATGGACAATAAGCCGACAATAAACTCGGAGAAGGTAAGTAAATTCATCGATAAAAAGAACTAAAGTGTTATTGCTTATGTATACGTATTAAAAGTAGTCTGATCATATTAGAAAAGTATGTAAATGTAGTAGAATTTGAATTAACAGGCTACACGTAAGACTGTCTCTTTGGGTGATAACAGCGTATTTCTGTATGGAAATGCGAAAGAAAAAAATGGCTACGTAGCCTAATAATGAAGAAATCGTAGAAATGAAAATTAGGACATCGCGATTCGCATATGCTAAACCTATTTAAACACAACAATTAATTAAAAATATGAAACTTCTAGAGTTAATAGCGTAACAAATTAGAATCAATTAGTTTAAATATCAGTTACTTGGATGCACTTGCGAGTGTGGTTCCGTCTAAAATTCACATTAAATAAAGATATTATTATTATGATATTATGTTTAACGAAAAACACAATTTTTCATTTAAATAATATTATACTGAAGAATGACCCAGACATTTGACAAAGTACGTAAGGACTAGAAGAATTTATCACAAGGCCCTAAAACTAATCGCACATTACAATATGCAGACGCGTGGGACATACTTGAATTAATTTGCATTTAAACAACCAGTTGAAATGTAACTACCATTTAAACGAATATTAGGCATGGCCGCGAATTGATCCTTTTTTATGCTTGGTACATGAACGTGGAGATATTTGGTTATATTACCTATACAGCGACGGATTTTCTGAACCCGACACGTTTCACTTTTCTTTGTTATAACCATCTCAGAAAACACGGGGCCACGAATTCTCAAAACGATCTCATGCGCCTGAGGACGACGGGGAAAACACGTTGAAACGTTGCATAAATGCCATTCAAAGACTTTATCCTAGAAACAGTGTCAGAAGTTAGCAAGGAATTCTAAGGCTAAGTTCGTTTCGAGAAAACCCGACCTGTTCTCTTAACAGTTAACTATTTGCATAACACTGGATAATTTCAGATAACACAATAATGTGTAATTTACAGGAATAAATTCTCTATCATATTTAATGTCAAGTGTACTTTTGAAAATGCTTTTGAAATTATTTAATGACCGGCTTAAATTAATTCAGTGACAAAAAGTAACCAGGGAGTGGGTGCCTTCTAGCGTTCAATAACAACCATTTTGGCGTGACCTTTATTTTATTGTAAAGTAAAATCTGTCGCCTATATTTGTGGAATAATTAACCTTCGAGATTAATTAATATTTCAATCGCAAGCTGACGGAAAAATTATTAAGTTCATAACTTAAGTTCCGTATGGCCTTTTTAGGCTGCATTTTCTGCATGGTCGTATCGCTACGAAATCTGCTCTGCTGATAATACATATCATTGCCTTTTTTTTTTGTATGTCTTTTGTGGACTAATTGCCCATTTTCTGTTAATTCGTTGATTTACACATAATTTGATCCAGTGTCAACTTACAGTCCAGCTAAATGCCTTTTTATTTGACCCCCTCAAATTCCTCACTTGAAAGGCAGATAATTGTGAAGGTATAAAATCGCGCAAATAACTATATGGGCCTTTAAAAGAAAGGATATACTGCCGAAACACCTGATGCAGATCCAATATTTCAAGTATTAATAATAAGAGGTTTTTATTGTTATATTGACTCCTGGACACTGGTCAACAAGTTCATATTGTAAAGTCGAATATAATGAAATTAACTTTGATTGTAGTATCAAGATTCTGTCACTGAAATGTGAATTGTTTGATGGAAACATATTTTATTCATTAAAAAGCTTCTTAATAATTTGTTTTATTAACTATTACCGACAGAGGTATAGCATACATACAACAATTTTGAGGAGAACTCGGTTCCACTGGCGATACAAAGAACAGATATTATTAGAAATGTAACTTTTCAGTCGTCGATGACCTCAGACAGAGCAACATTTACAACTTAGTGCAAAGCACATTGACAACTGAGCACAGAGAAATGTTTTACAACTTCCTCTGTTTTCGCAACGTCTGTAAAACTATCATGGAATGTAGGAAAGCAATGTGTGTCGAATACTAACAAAATTGTGTGGTGTTCGAGTGAAATTAGAATAGTATTCCAGAAAAAGCATTACCTGGGTCATGAAGTAAAAATCAAAAACGAAGGGTTTGACAGGGAATAATACGGAAAAAATGTTTGTTTACGGTTTCTTGGGTTGAGGGTCTGATTTCGGGCGCTGACATAATTGTGGTACAAAAATAAACGGTCGTGAATGGTGTCTTACAATGTTTAAAGTGCAAATTATTCTTACGTAAATAACATCAATTTGACAGATTTTTAAATTGAAGGCAGTCAGTTGACACAGGTTGAATAAGACAGACATATCGCAAAGAACAGAACTTGGTAAAATGTCAAATAAAAACATCTGGAAAAAACCGATATCAATTATTAACAGGCAAAATTTGATAGACAGAATTAATGGGGAAATAAATAGTATTTTGGTATTAACTTCAAATATCAAGATATCAAGACATAATCCTCTCGTTATGTTCTCTATTCCCGATCCTATTAACACTATTTCTTAGGCTCATCTCAGACATTTCAATAAAATCCATACACATTGACCGAAATCTGGCTTGCATCGCTAAATGATTTTAAGGATAACAAGGACAATATTCTGTCTTTCAGAAATGGTGTTGAATGGCGTTGTTATCTACATAAAGTAAATGTTTAATTCCATCTTTACATTAGCATCTGTATATATAACTTAAGATCTATCTAACTGCGATGGTAAATCTGTTGATAAAAGTTCTTGTCACCTTTATAGCCATTGTCCATCTTGATCCAACCATGTCTGTCATAGGGTGGAATTAAGGTTTCAAGTCAAGAAGGTTCTTACAAAAGAATTTGACTTAGCGCTCATGTGCGTTTGCCTGCTTTTCCCATACACATCCATGGACTGGACTTTAACAACATCTCTTACCAGTTGTCTTAATGAAGAGAGATGTACCCTGGCCAATTACAAGAACAATAGTGGCACCAGCCAACTCAAGACTTCGCTACTGAATGCGATACATGCTTCCTTAACTTTGGATTAATTTAATTTTCCAGGTCAGGTATCTTTGTTTAATTAAAACATAATGGATAAATACACGATAATTATTTCGGTTGCCTGTCCTCAGTGATCTCTTACTGTCTATTGTCAAGAGTTGTATTTGGTTAATAATTAACTAGAGCCAGTATTGATTGTTGGTAATGAATAGATCTGTTGCTCGGTATTCAATCTATTTTCTTACTAATTGTTAGGATTACATTATAATTTCAAACAATATCAATAAACCATTGTCAATGGTAGATAGATCTGTATTCAATCCTCAATATCTACCCCCGTTAACGCGGCGATTCAGGGGCTTAGACGCTTGCTCGCTAGATTGAAAGTACAGGTTTCAACCCCGGCAAAAGTTTTCAAGTAGGTTTCCCCCTTTCATTGATGCGGATCGGAGGGGCTGACTTGGAAAAGCGTCTAGTTGTTCGGATGGGACTATAAACCGAGGCTCCATGCAGGCTTTGCACGTTATTTTTTAAAGATGTCTCGATTGTTGGAAATGGAAAAAAAAGCCGCTGTCCTGGCAAAGACGGATATATAAAATCTCGTGATAATCAATTATGAGTTTAAATGTACACTTAAGAAGGGAAATACATAGTAGTTTGTAACTGCGAAATGTTGCTGAAATTAAAAACAATGTGTTATAACAGTTTTTTTTTATCATTTTATGGAACATTTATTATGTAAAATATATTCCGATTAAAAAACTATTAATTGCACATGCATGAGGCTCGATATTTTTAATATGAATTATTACACATAAATCATTGAGGTGTGTTTTGAGATAATTTATAATAAGTAAGATATCCAGCTGTATGTAAATTCTGTTGATAACTGATCATTGTTTTGTTTCATTCTACTGTTCACATAATAATTTTATTTAAAAAATCCTTGATTTTGTCAATATAGATGATGTCGTCAAGGTCATAAGATATTGTTAATGCTATAAATGGTGTTGAACACTTATCAAAGAAAGAAAGAAACAAACAACTATATTTTACAAGGATGACAACTAAGGCTCGCAGTTAAGGATCCTTTTTACCAGCCGGTCCTTGGCGAGACCTCTTAGCGTTGATCCCGGATTATCTGTAACCATTTACAATTGGGATATCAGCTCCTTAAAGAGTTGATCTGATGTTTATTTCCTTCAAGATAAAGTATACTTCCATCTGGTTTTGACCTCGAATTGGCTTCAACGTTGACATTTTTATTGGTTCAGTCACCTAAACACCAGAGATTTGATTTAAACTGTCGTGTCCGTTCTTTCACTCTCGTTCAATCATTGTCTATAGTAATCCGGTATTTTAACGGAAGATTTTCTTCCCCAGACAGCGGTTGACGAGAATTTTGACCAGGTTTTCTATTGATTGTCATATTACAGAGAATTTTCAAGAATTCCCTTGCCATTTTATACAGACTATATAATACTTTCAACCCGACAGCTATTATGGACTAGCATTAAACAAGGTAAACTTTCAGATTGTTGTTATCTTTCATTTCTTTTATTTTATATATCTGGAAATATTAAGATCACAAATAATGCCTTGAGATATGTTGACACTGCAAAGTATCCGTGCCAAGTCCACGTACGGTTCACTTCGATCTAGCCAATTGTTAAAGAGATACTACGTCTTAGAATTAACATAGAATTTAAGAATTTTAAACTTGGCGAATAAGAGCCAGTAGATATACCTTGTGTCATAAATAACATAACAGGAGCCTTATATAATCCGATAAATCCAAATTTATTTCCGCTGTTATTTTATATGAAAAAAATTCAAGAAAATGGAAAAAATTTTCTAGAGCCAATATATTCACTATATTTTGTATGGATAGACTTGGAAGAAAATACTTATTGGCCTCCAGTATGCTTTTATCTGGTATTTGTGTATTTTTTATATGGTTTGTAAGAACTAAAGTAGAGAATTTAATAATGTCCTGTTTATTTGGTCTTGTTTCCACTGTTGGCTGGAACTCACTGGATGTTCTTTCAGCTGAACTCTTCCCAACTGAAGTCAGATCTACAGGAATGGGTGTTCAGCAAGCTTTTGCCAGAGTAGGTGCTATTTTGGGTAATGTTATATTTGGAGAGTTATAAGTATCCATATATCCATAAATATGCAATTAAATACAATGGAAAAAGCTTAATATCAAGATTAAGCGTTTTTCAATAATTACTTATTTTTATGAATTTTCCAATTTACCAGATTTTACAGGGATTCTGTTGTAACTTTATGACACCAGGTAATCTAACTGATGAATATAGACTAATATTGACCTTTTCGAGAACTTAAATTTTATATTCATTCTAAGACGAACACTTTAAGGCATTTTATCAAGGCCTATGCTACGAATTGGATCTGAATGTCCATACCATAACTTTGTTAGCTTCAGCCAGGATTCTGTGTTTTGGTAAATAACGTGATTACTAACCTACAACTGTCCAATGTGTACAGTTTTTGATGATCTTTTTTTAAAGGAATTAATTTGAAATGATTATATTAATACAAGGGGCAATCAGTACACATTCGACTGGAGGACATTGTTAAAAGATCTATAGACTATGCTTCTCTTTAATTTTGTGCAATTTTTGTTACAGCCATGCACAAGAAGACATTTCCATGTTATATCCTTAATAAAAGTCTGGCAACACATGCTATTCGGTTTGATATCAGTTTTCAAGTTACGACTAAATTTATGCATAACAGCTTAATAGCTAATTACACTTTGTTTTTTTTTTGTAGCAATATTCATGATAAAATGATAGCCTTCACTGGAGTTTATAAAAACAACCCGGTGTTCAGATAGCAAACCGTTACGTTCGCTTTTTTTTTTATTGTGATGTATATTCCGCTTGGGTGTGGCATTAGGAATTCTGGAGGCGGCCTTCCAAAGGTGGCAACTGTAACGTTGGCAATCCTGTAGCTGATCGTGCTCAGAAGGCTCTGGTCGTGCTGCGTTGCGACACCGTCTGAGGATTCTATGACCAGCTAAAATTAATGCAAACAATACTTAATAAATAAAATGCTTTGTGTTTATATTTGAAATATAATATATTAAGGATTAATTTAAAGTCGTTTGAAATGGTTCCGACTTTAATGTAGTTCTTTAACTCCCGGTAATTACATATTTTAATTGCATTTCTGGGTATTAATAGAAAATATTGCTTCATTTATTGTCCATTCAATTAAACAAGAGAACTGTATAGCCTAGTATATATAAAAACAATTTATTACTCAATTAATATGATGAATAAATTTCCAGCCCATTTAATTATTGCGTTTTTATTATTTCTTACGTGAATCAGCGAAAAATAGCATTAAAAGAGCACATTTTGAAAAAATAACTAACCTTAAAAATATTCTAGTACGGGTTATGGAACAAAGATTGTTGGTAACAGCTTCATTTCAAGCTGTTTTATGTTTTTGTACTATAAAAAATTGTCATTACATTATAGTTTAGCATGGATTGAAAGGATTCCTAATTTTATGAAAAATGTGGCTTTGACGTATTGGAACATGCATCGTGGTCGAAATAATTTGTTTGACAAACACGAGAGGTTGACTATCACGATTGGTTATGCAGAATATGGTTGACAGTCACAAATAATTGACAAAATATGGTTGACAACCAGAATGTGCTTACATTTGATATGATTGATTGGCAGATTGTGGCTAACGATCACGATTCGTCATAGAATATGGATGAGAATCGCGCTTGGTAGACAGAATGTGGTTGACTATCACGATTGACTGACAGAATGTGATTGACAATCGACATAATGAGGTTGACTATCACGATTGCTTGATAGAATGAAGTTGATTATCACGATTGACTGACAGAATGTGATTGACAATCGACATATTGAGGTTGACTATCAGGATTGCTTGATAGAATGAAGTTTACTATCACGATTGACTGACAGAATGTGATTGACAATCGACATAATGAGGTTGATTATCACGATTGCTTGATAGAATGAAGTTGACGATTGATCGACGGAAGGTGTTCGAGAATCACGCTTGGTTGACAAAATATGGTTGACACATGGAATGACAGAAAAGAAATCGTATAGACATTTGACACTTCATTTCGTTGTAAAGACTGTAATAAGCATTTACCAACAGGGCATAAAAAGATAAGATCGCAATAATATATTAAGCTTGCAAGTAGGCGTCTAGATGAACAGGACCCTGGAACGAATCAGCATTTGGTGTAAATATTATATTGTTTTAAACCGGTAAATACGATTTGTAGCCGTAACGTAAAAATGTTAATATTATGTTTCCTAATATATCTTTATGTCGCATAAGTGGCTTAGTGAGAAAAAAATTAAGTAGCTTACAGCTTGCAGCATACTAATCTGCATAAAATACATAAAATATCGATTTGTCATTGTGTGCAATATTGAAGATAAATATAAGCATGACCAAATGACACGATAAGAGATGATTTTATGGTTGAAAGCCATAAAAGATAAAAACCTGAAACAATTTAGAAAATTTAGCTAATATTTTGTAAAGAGCTTTAGTATATAATATAATTTAGATTATATTATAATTTCATCAATAGATTTTTATATACTGAATGATGTAAGATGGTATTGGCGCCCGATTGCAATCAATTGGTTATTATATGACACTGGTTCTGGAATGAAACTTTATGGCCTTCAGTATTGTGAATTCGCATATTTCTCAGTACATAATTGTATCATTCTTAAATTATTAGTAACTGTGGGATATGACTCTTTCTAATTTGGAATTTTGATTCATACTAGTGCATTCTAAATTCATTTTCGTGCACTGCATAAAATTTGCAATCGAAACAAACAATGTGCATGCTAATATCAATGTATTGATTCTAATATTTAAATTTTATTTGAAAATGGCAATTATATATGCAGTTATAGAATGAAGGCGGTATATATAGCACGATCTGTCTTAACTAAATTTAAATTCAGCATATATACAGGATTTGTCTATGCATAAATTATCTTAAAACTAAAATTAGAATTCAGTATAGATGTTTTTGTAGGATTTGTGTAGGTTTTGCCATATGTCTTTAATAAGATGCAAATTCAGGATACGTTATATGTTTCTCTAGAAAGGATGTACGTATTCCATAATAACGAACCATTAAAGCCAGGTCTCTTAATTATACTATTTACATATATAATATACAATTCTCCATATATTAATAAATGTCTTATCTTTTGATGGATATGTAAATGAGATGTTGGTATGTTAATTTATTTTTGTTTTTCAATATAAGACATCTGTTTTTCTCCAAAGAAATTGATTTCCTACCATGGTTGAGTCAAGATAAAGGAATCTGGAGGTTAGGTATTATATTCATTGTATTACAGTCGGTTTAAATATAAGTAAAAAACGGATTAAATATATATTATTGATCATTTTCTATCACATATTTATATTCTAGTTTAACATCTGTTCTGAGATATTTCACAATATTGTCGACAACAAGGAAAGGATATATAGCTTCTCAATTGACACTTGTTATACAGATATTGTGGAGTATAGCGGAATTTGTCGATAATGGACGGTCGGCCACAGGTAACTTTCAAAACAATGATGCAATAGATATAGTTGTAACTTTTCAATGCAATTTGTTGATATTGAATCTTGCTGCAATATGGAGGAAATATGATCCTTAACCCGGGTGAACACGGGAAAGTTTTACCATTCAGCGCTGAAGGAGGGTCGCGTATGTGGAGATAGAATTTACTTTGGTGGGCTTTATAAATATTCGATTATGAACAATCGGGCAACTTTCAAAAGAATGATGCAATACATTTTATTGTAAAATTTACCTTTCTCAAATCAATTTGTTAATATTGAATTCCTCTAAGATATGGATAAGAAATCCCATTGCGTTTTGAACGGGACATCTGGCTTTAGCATTCTATAAGTTTTTTAGATTTTTTTTTGTATCGTGTCGCCTTTGACTTAGGATGCTGTATGTCTGTCTACGGTTTATTTTATTGCTTTGAAGAAATATGAACTTGGACTTCGGTATAGAAAGAGTCGTTTAGCTGAGATGGGCTTTATAAATCAGTCTTGACAGCAAACATGGTATAAGGTTTTATAAGAGATACTCTCTTATACAAGCACTGGCCTAGGTCACAAGAAGGGACTGTGGATTTCAGCATTGGAATTCGTCAATTGATAGGAAATAACCTACTTCTGGAGAGATTTACAAGATAAACAAATAATTCAGAAATACAAAGCGATTGTTTCAGGGAGTTAATGATATGGTCTCAGACTTTTTAAAATGGTAATTAGACGAGATATTATACAATTTAGAGTGCGATGTATCGAAACGCTTTTACGGATCCCGACACAATGTGAATATTACACTATATTTTTACACCATTAGAGCATTAAATAAATCAGCTGCTGTTTATATGCACTTATGTAAATCATAAGTATTGCAATGGCATAATATACAATGGTTATATTCAAATCTGGATTGAAGTAGAATTAATTGCAATAAATGCTTCTAATTTTATATATTACGTAGGCGGATCATCCAATTGCACTGAACAGTTTTCTACCATATAAACCTACTCATTTGAACGAAAACTATTAAAACGACAATAAATTATTCTATTCAATAAGCAAATTATCCAATGATAAATGTGTTGAGGTGGTTTTAAAAATTTTACTATATTAAACAGGTGTTAATTCTAAACATAGAGATTATAATGGCTTTAAAATGGACGACTGGAAAATAAAACTACAGATCGCTATTTGGTTGGTTAATTTCCATTTAGTTATTTATGACAGTTCCGATTTAGCTCATGGAACAATTTGCAAAGGTACGATTCTCCTCTAGTTGTTTACTAATATGTATTTTATTTGTATATTCCTTGGACTACTAGCGACAATTGACACGATTTTACAAATTTTCACCTGGCCTACTGCTACCATTGATTGATTAAGCGTTTTATTTTGCAGGTGAAAGCGATGCCAAGTACAGTGATAGAGGACCCTGGTATACCCTTGGTTGGACGACGAGAAGGCAAGTTCTCTAAGTATGTCGAGGAAGATAGTATTAGCAATTCATCAAGCGGTTCAATGTCGCCAACTAAACGAAAATTTGAAAATATCAGCTACAAACTCAGTCACAGAAAGAAATTACTTAATAGACGCCGGATGGTAGTGAATATAGAGTTTGCATTGGCCATGTTGGGTATTATATTGATGTTAATAGAAACTGAATGTTTTATAGATATTCCTGGATTTACTAAGGCTGATCCCGTGTCTGTGATTTTAAAATCCTTCATATCAATTTCTACGTTTTTTCTGATAATATGTGTTATATCATATCATATTGTCGGCATCCAAATCAGAATGACAGATGGAAGTTTGGAGGACTGGAGACTTGCTCTCAGTTCGTGGACCTATGTAAAAATTGCTACAGAGGTTATCATATGTGCTATTCATCCGATACCAGGTGATATCAGCTTCCCATATGCTGCTAAAAATGCTCCCAAAAGAGTCTCAATAGACGCTTTCCTGTCGGTTCTGATGTTGTTAAGATTATATTTAGTAGGAAAGTTCGTTGTCATCCACAGTCGCTTACTGACTGATACCTCTACACAAAGTCTAGGAGCTCTAAATAAGGTCAAGATCAACACAGGATTTGTCTTCAAGGCTTTAATGTCCGAAAGACCAGGCAGCATGTTAGTCGCGTTGATGTTTGCGATCTTCGTCATCAATAGTTGGGCATTACGTACTTGTGAAGTTTATTATCATCCCGATCATGAACATAGCGATTTCACTAACGCAATGTGGCTAATAGCCATCACATTTCTCACAATCGGCTATGGTGATATAACGCCGAATAGCGAATGTGGTCGTTTCATTGCAGTAGAGACTGGTCTTATGGGTGTTGGTATCACTGCTCTGTTGGTAGCTGTACTTGCTCAAAAACTCGAACAAACGCGATCTGAAAAATATGTTCATACTTTCGTCAATCGAGTGAAGCTCGACAACGCTCAGAAACACGCTGCTTCTAATGTGATTAAACAAGTTCTCTCTTTGTGGAGAATAAAACGAAGGGGGATAAAAGATGATAAATATAGAATACGTGTGTATGGGAAGATGCTACAAGCTCTACGAGAAATGAGAGCTGCGAGGAATGGAAAAGCGATCATTGGAGAAACGTCAATAGGTATTATTGAAGTTTCTAAAAGTGTGAATGACGTTTTTGATATAACAGAAACAATACAAACTGAACAAAGGGAGATAAAAAGTAGACTAGATGGTTTAGAAAATACTGTGAAAACTATAAACGATAAACTAGATATCATCTTGAATTCTTCTCGTCGATAGAATGGAACTATTGATACCATTGACTATTGTTTCTATTCATACGTGGGAGGACTCATACAATTTCATTCAAATGCAAGTATTTCGGCTGTTCGTTTTCAACTAGCGCCCATAATAGCCCCGTCACAACGGTTTTCGACCAATTGCGATCTTACAGCGACATGAAATGTACTAGTTGCGGTCAAACGTGAGAAATACTAGAGAAAAAAGTTCCTAAAAATTACAAACTTAAAAACAGTCGACCTTTTATCGCGTTCTAACGTTTTTGCAGCGTCTTTGTCACTGCGCTTTTATACCACTTAATGAGATGTTACAACGGTTGTCTGTCGACCTTCTCGATCCTATGTAGCTTTCAACGCGTTGCAGAACAGATCGCCGTAATTTGACGTTTGTTTTGAACATGTCTTAAATAAATGCTGTGACCTGGCGAAAAGTGGCGACATTTACAGGATGCCGTGTCCTACACGTTTATGCCACGCTTATGGTGACCTTAACACTCTGTGCGTCAATTTTCCATCGCAGTAGCAGCGCAGTAAGAACGCTTTTCTGGTGTGTAGGGTTCAACATTAGATGCGTGTGTTTATATATATAAATATGTATATATATATCATTGAGATGGTTTCTCACAACGTTTGCTATGCCGCATTCAAATGATATAATAAGTAACCTTAGATTTTATACGGAACACTTTCAATCTTCGGCACAGTTCATTAGATTGTGCCCTGTAAACATCATGGGGTGATTCGAGGTTATGGTTGTAAATAATGTAATATATTGTCACAAACAAACGGTCACAATGTAATCTTGGAGTAAATTATGGGATGTGGATCATAGAATCACCAAATATATAATAAAACATATCTTTTAATTCTTTAGTTATTTATGTGTCGGTGGATACAACTTATAAAGTGCCCTCATACCATAGCGATCACGAGTTGCGTATAACTGCGAAAAGAAGTTTCGAACCAGCATGCAAATGAATTGTGAAACTTCTGACACTTTCATTATTCGCAACTGTAACAACTGGTAATCGCTATGTCCCCAGACGAAGTTAAAATTTTTGATCTTTAAAAAGTTAAATGTTCTGTGACGGTTGGCATTACCCAAAGCATGCTTACTCTTTTCTGATAATATATGTTACATCATATCATATTGTCGGCATCCAAATCCGAATGACGGATGGAAGTTTGGCGGACTGAAGACTTTTAGAACACACACTGCCTCTCTGCGACTGCATGTGTCAACTGGGCATCCTTTTCAGAGTTCACACAAAAAATAGTTTTTCGTGTATTTCATATTATCCCAAATTATTGCATCCAAGGAAAAACAAAATGAAACATAACGTGACAAATCAATTTATCCTTCAATCCGAAATTCTCCCATGTAATTTTCGACCAAGTTCAACTCTATACAATAACAACCTGTTTGTGCAGCCAGCGGTCACTCATTTTAAGGCCTTGCAATCACAATTACCTTGACCATTACATGTGGATATGAAATATAACTCGTCACAAATGAATTGTTCGAAGTTTAACAATATTGTGTTCTTCACGCAGCTTCAAACACAGACTTATTAATGAATTATTAAGTCTTATTACCTTGGCGATAGTTATTTAACATGCCTGGTGGAATCTGATCTTACGTCAAGTGACAAGCGCTGATCCCAAGACGCTATTGCGAATCCTTAAGCTATTGGTATACGATTCATATGAGAGAATGCGAACCTCACGATAATATTGTTACTACTAAGCCGCAATGGGGTTGTTACTTGAAGGGCAATAACTCAAATCATGAAACCGACCATTCTCGAAACTCTTAGGATTCTATTTCATCTCCATCTGTATTGAAATAAGAATCTCGAGACGGGTGTTCATGGTTCGACAGATCATATTAAAACCTTAGAAAACACAGCGCCATTTTGCAAATGTAAAGTTCTCACTAGTCCACATTGATACAAAAAGTCCATATTGATAATATTTGTATAATGTTTATTGTTTTTCTGATATGCTTTGCAGATCGAAGTTCAAAGATATTACTATCAATGTATTATGGGCATGGTACAGTGATACTACTTTTCAGATGAGTAGTTTCAACGAGCCACTTCTCCGACAAAAACGAAAAAAAAAAGTTTTTTAAAGCCATTGAGTGTTTATCAATGAAAGTTAAGATAATTACACAGACATTGACCTCCTCCAATTCTCGTTTATATAATTCACTATCAATGACAAGATCTCTTCATTAATGAGTATCAGTTGATAATTTATCAATGAGTCCAAACTTTCCACCAATTATCAAAAATCACACTACATGATAACATAATTACCATATATTTACAACTGGGTCATATTTTCACCCTTTCAATCTTGTCATAGATATTCCCATTGTGTCAAGGACAGTTCTACTTCGGCTTTTAAATATCTTTTTCATGGTCACAATTTTGTGCCTTTTGTATTTCCATATTTAACCATGCAAAAAAGTGTTTGAACATTTCATTGACGACTCGCGTTTTCCAAGAATCCACCATAATAGGAGATGAAAGACTAAATAATCAAAAAATAGTATTCGTTTTCGTTTAAATTCCTATATTAAACCGTGCAAAAATCAGGAAACACTCTTAAGTGTTTGGACCATTGACGGCTCGCCTTTTCCATGACTCCACCATAATAGGAGATCAAAGACTAGATTATCCAAAAATATTATTTGGTTTCTTTTACAGTCCTATATTAAACCGTGCAATCACGAAACACTTAAGTGTTTGGGCCATTGACGACTCACCTTTTCCAATACTCCATCATTATGTAGAACAGTCAAAGACTGGATAATCCAAAAATGAACCATGCAAAAATCCTTCGTGTTTGAACATTACATTGGCGACTAACCTTTTTCAAACTCCGCCATAAAGTTAAAGGTTAAAGACCTCATCTTACAATTTTCGGGTATCCTAAGTTCCGACAGAGGATAAACTAATAAAAGAAAATGAAAAGTGAACAAGGAGGTTTAAGTGTACAGCTAACAGTGGTTACTGCTCAATCAAAACAGGATTCACCAGCATGATAGATATATTTAAATTATACCGACGCTATAGTATGGCTTGACGGAGCTTATGTTTTACCAAATTTTTTGTCCAACACGCTAGCAGATTGTACTGAGATCTGTTGGCAGCTTTCTGTGGTCAGAATATAAAGATGGTCTGTATGTGAGGTTGAATGAAGATTCCTATTCACTAGACACCTTGAACTAAAGATCATATTTAACAAATATTATGTTTACTCATTCATCTACACCTTTTGACAGATTTCTGTGGTCAGAATAACAAAGTACTTGTAGGCGAGATGGCACACCAGATCCTTTTTTTCTAGACTCATTGATTTTAAGACGAAGCTTACCAAATATTTTGGCTAATCATTCAGCAAAATGGGATCGACACCTTTTGACAGCTTTCTGTGGTCAGAATAACAAAGAGCCTGTGGGCGAGATGGAACATCAATTCCCTATTATCTTGACTCTTTCTAAATAAATAAGGTAAATAGAAATTTATGAGGAGTTCTGTGGTCAGAATCTAAATAAAGAATATGTCAATGAGATCGAACGACGTTCAGTGTATCTAAAATAATCTCTTCAGTCTCTTTGTGTCCCTGGTCAGTGTCTTGCTGATAAAACCGTCTGATTACGGGTCAGATTTGTAACAGACCTGATATCACATTTTCGCTTAGTAATTACTACATCTAGACTGTTTTCCGATAATTCATCCGAAGAGGATGATACCATGTCTTATCTGAGTGATCTTAAGTTGGTCCAAAGAGAAAAGTGTAAGTGGGGAAAATTTTTTAACTTTTCAAGGAGAATCACATGACTTCCAAATTATTATAAATATTCCGAATTCCCAGCAGCTTCCAGAAGCTTTCCGTTGATATTGGTTTCATTACAATAAAATATATAAAGCTAAGGTAAGATTATGTTTATTATCTTTTAAATTTATACTGAGTTATTTTTAAAAAATTTTGTCAAAAATTATTTAGATTTTTCTTGTCATTAATTCTTTCAATACTAATAAATGAACAAATCCGTTGCATAAATAGAGGATTTGAAACGAGTGTTTATGTCATGAATTGAGTTTCCAGATTTAATACCCGAGACTTTGCGATGAATCCAGATGTCTGTCTAACAGTCCATCTTTCTATACCTTTTTTTTTTAGGGATTTTGATAAAATTTGGTGTCAGTGTAAATTCTGAACTGATTAAGACGAAACCTGTCGAAAATCAAAAAAAAAAGTCTTTGAAAAAATCTTGTGCAGTATGAAAATGATACTCTCGAAATATTTCATTTATTGATAGCTCTTGTCAACCTCCCGGATGACGTGGCTGCCATTACAATGGTGGGCGTATTACGATGGGCCATCGCTATTTTTATTATAAAATTCAAGATAATTTATTATTCTGAAAATTCTACCCGGTTATGTATATATATTGAAATTAACAATTATGTTCTAATCCTAAAATGTTTTTTTTTTATTTTATGCAAATTTACTTGTGAATTTTTCATAAAATTATAACAACAATTTGGAATGGTTATTAGTATATATTGGAATAAGCAATTATGTTCTTATCATAAAATGTATTATTTTTTTCAATTTTAGCTTAAAGTTCAAAATGTCGGGAAATAGAGACAATACAAGATTGGATGAAAGTGAAAGAAAGAAAATATTTCAGCAATTCCATGCCAAATCACAAGGTGACGAACACGATATCTGGGAATGTCAGAAATTTCGAGCCAGTCTTAATAGTACTGAAGTCATTGGAATATTTGACGAATGGGTGAAAAACGGCGATGGTTCGTACGAAAAGGTAACCTAAACTAGAATATAACTTAATTTTCAAATCACGATATATATCTTTAGTTGATAACTAATATTTGGTCCGGTTGTAATATACAGAGAACCTGTTCTGAATCATTAATAAAATGTCCAATAACGTGTTAATGAGCTATGTGCTCTGATGAGATCAACTCTGTTCGGTTACTAGTGTTATTTTTTCTGAAACAATTAGCTTTGTAAATTCAAAACACGATACCTGTGATATAATGCGTTGAGTGAAATATTAAATTATGATTATACGTATAAGTATAGAAATATCGCTCTACAATTGATGTATTGATCACTATTTTAACAGTGAATATAATTTATTGTATTGTACGTATAAGTCTATATTATTATATATCGCAATTGAGATACTTTCAAGGCCAAATCTGTTCGCCAATTAAGCAGCTGGTAAAGATTAACTAACTTTATAAATTTAATATGTATGGGTTTTTTTTTCAGGACATGTTAGGTATTGGATATCAAGGGCATTATCAAACAGCAGAATTATTATCAAAACATCTACCTGGAAAAAAAGATCAGTATAAAATTATAGATTGCGGTGCCGGGTCTGGTTTATCCGGTGTAGAGGTAACATCCACCATAATTAAATGTACACCATTCAAAATTTGAGGGCTTTTACATAATATGAGAGCATTGACATAATAGTGAAAGCCTCCAATGTCTTCTATACTACCCAGCCATCATTAAAAGTCTAAATTGACTCCTCCGAAGCGTCATATTTGTACGTTAATCCAGTGTACGTCGACATTGCATATCTACAGTTATTGCAATTATTGACATAGAGCTAAGGACGAATAATGCATAACCAATGTTTTCTTGCGAGGTTGTAATAGGCTATTTCAATGCTATTTTCATTACATAAAGTCACTTTACATATTTTTATACTTGACAAAGAAGCCACCATCCAGTTTTGAAGAAGGAGGGGTGGATTCTGCAGTATGTAATACTATTGGTCTTGGTAAGCATCGGGTAGAGTCAGAATTGGAATTTCAAAAGGAAAATGTTTTGTTTTCCAGCTGAAGAAAGTTGGTTTCAGTCACATTGATTGGTTAGACCCCAGTGGACTGTCTGTGGAACCTGCCAAGAAAAGAAAAGTCTATGAAAGATTCATTGTGGATTATTTATCAGAAAAGGCGTTAGACGTGAAACCAGGTATGTCTTGATCTTGGTTGATTTTTTTTTGTATATGTGATCACCAGTTGACGTAGTTTTCACTTTCTGCCCATGTGTCTATACCAGTGCCGTAACTACATCAAGGAAATTGAGAGAAATGCCGAATTTGACCACAAAAATAAACAAAAAAATATACGAATATGATATTCACTAACTATATCGCTTATTTAATGTCTACGATAAGATGGTTACCGTTTGAAGACTCGAAAGCGTAGTGATGAAATCCCTAACTGACCTTTAAGACAGTGGGATTTTTGCCTCATAGAAAAAAGACTCTAGTTACGGCCCTGTCTGTCCTCGCCACATTCGTATCAGTATCATGATTTCATTATAAGTCAATTAATAGATGAAATATGGTATTCAGTGCGAATCTTAGAAGTGCACAGTGAATTATGTACACTATTCGAAATGTTATCTGAGAAATTTTGTCTTAAAACGGAACAAATAACAGATAGTGGTTTGCGCATGCTGGTTTGCACATGCTCACAAAACAACAAAAAAGCAAACTAATTGTCGTTAAACATTACAAATCATATGATTATCCAAACCTATCCCTTTTTGAGCTCAGTCTTTTTAAGCATGCGCAAAATGTTATTATGACTACTATGTCACTGTTCTATGTATTCAGGTTTGATGCATTCGATGTCACATTATATACCTTGAAAAACCATTTAAATAGCCTTTTCTTCATGATTTTTGACTGCACATCCTTTTTTCCAATTTCAGCCACTAATTCCCAACTTGTGACACTTGATATGCCATAGAATATGGCATGTAGCCCCTTTATTCTAACGATAATCTCAATAAAATATGTTACATAGCTTCATTAGGTTGAAGATTGAACATATATCATGTCTGGAGGGATCTTTTACCAACGTCCAGCATCCTACAGTGAGTCTCGATACAGGTTCAAATCGTCCAGCGAGTTATTTGACCATTTCAAGATCTTGTCTTTTGTTATATTTTTAAAGGAAGATTCTCTTATCATCTTTCACTAATGCGATCCTAAACGTTTTAAAACTAAAACATTCGACTAAAATTCTGTAACAAACGAAAGAAAAGAATGGGAGTCTTGCTTTAAGCATTATTTTGTGCTGAATTTATGTTCGTCTATAATCTGGTCAAATGAACTCATATGGATGGAGAAACAATTCTATATCTTAGTCAAAGTCCAGAGGGTTACATGACCATTTCAAGATTTAAGGAGTTGAATTTCTTGTAAAATTTAAAGGTATATGGTATCATTGAATTTAAAAACAATCATCGGAGAACATGGTTAATACAAAAGCTAAATTTTTTTTCGGGCATTTAATGGAACCTGTACCTTTATATTTATATGTTGAGGGGAAAGTCTACAATCTGGTCAAGTGAACTGTTCTGGAAGCCAAATATTTTTATTTTATCGATAACTTTTTAAGTCCAGAAAGTTATTTGACCATTTCAAGATTTATATTATTAACAATGGGGTTTCTTAATTGGATTATGGTAGATTGAGCATTGACGATGTCGGCAAGGAATCTAGAATCTATAATCTGGTCAAATGAACTGTTCTGGAAGCAAAATATGTTTTTATCTCATCGAATCTGGAGGGTTATTTGACCATTTCAAGATTAATGAAACAATGAGCAACAGATTCGTCACATATGGAAGTATTGCGTCAAATTGTGCAAGAAATATAATTTTATGGAGAGTCTTTTCCAATCTGGAATCTATAATCTGGTCAAATAAACTGATCTAGAATCTGCAATAAATATATATCATTTTAAGTCCAGAAAGTTATTTGACCATTTCAAGATTAGTGCTGATTTTTTTATGGGTGTTTACGATGGATGAACTGCAAGGTCTTTGTACCGCCGGAGAATCTATAATCTGGTCAACTCAACTTCTTTGGATTAGACAAATTTACCCCGAAACCCCTAGAATGGTATCTCAAAGGGTTTAATGACTATTTAAAGATTAACACCCCGTGACAATGAAACCCAGCTCTTCATGTTTACTCTTTATGATGTATTTTTTCACGATAGTCGTTTGGTATCATTGGCACTTCATCCGTTGGTGTTGCAGATAGAAATATGTTACTGGTAATAGTGTGACCAAAATCATTATCAATTTCTGACTAAAGAGGAAATCTAAAATCTAGTCACTAAACTTTCTGGGTACCTCCTTGTGCTGTTTGCCATAAATAAACAGCTGTTGGTATTCACAAAAAATTGGTAACACAAAAAATGTCAAAGAAACCAAGAGTTATTGACCATTTCAAGATTACTAAACAACTGTTGAGAACTGATATTTTGATTGTTTGTAAACAGTAACACAGAGTTATGAAGGAAGTTTCTTAGTTCTTGGATTTCTTAGAAATCGTTGAATTATTTGAGATGTTCAAGCTTTGAAATTCTGAAATCTTGTATTGTTATATTAAAGTTGGTGTCTTTATTTTCTGATCTTCTTGACAATAGCTCGTTTGAGCTATTAAACTTTGTGAAATTTGATATGAATTTTACTTATGTTGGTCGCTTTGTGCAAGTAATATGTCTAATTTAGAATAATCTATAATCTGGTCAACCAACTCGAAATGAAAACACAAGGCCTCGTTAATTCTTACATATCTTTCTTTTCTGGAAGGTATATTTGGTTCTGGGCGAGTTTGTTGCTGTTTCTAGTAAAGTAAATAGTAAATTCGTCAGTAGACTCAAAACAAGATCATAAATGTTTCAAATTACTATTTATTCAACAGTCTGTAGGTCCATGGAAAATTTCTTCGCCATTGCAGAATCGTTGGGATTTTTGATGTCGTTGAATCGGATGTAATACCTAATACTTTTTGATCTTGTTAAGGGTTTACTGGCTCTAGAACTATGTTTAACCAATGTACATATTGTCTTCTTACAGATACCTATGACGCTTCGACCTGTGTTGCCGCTTTTTTTGAAGGCTTGATCCCTCTTGGTGGTTTCAATGAAATGATCAGAATTACCAAACCCGGTAAGAAAACTTCTCAGCATTGGTCTCGCTTAGAGCACCGTGCCTAAATTGAAAGTTGGAGGCTTGTGCTGGATAGAAGTAAGATGTTGCTCATGCTCATCCTCTAGACTTCAAGTATTACAATTCTTTTCCAATTTGATCGACCCATGCTCAGTTTTTTCTGATTGGTTTAGTCGATCTTTACAATGGTTCGGTCACTTTCGGTCGATTGCAGTATGAAGAGGGTAATAATGTGTGTCACAGACAATGTCTGGGAACACCTAGAAGTTTCCTTTTAAAGCAGTAATTGGAAATGAATTGATACCATCGCTTATTGTAATTTGTTCTATACGTTACAGGAGGAATCATTATTCTAAGTATATCAGAAACAAGTTTGAATACATGTAAGGAATATAAAGGAAGATTTTTACCAAGACTTGAAGAACTGATCGAAGCCAAAGAATGGGAATTGGTAGAGAAGACCCACGAGCCCCATTATTACAGAAATGTCCCGGCTTTCTTCTTTGTGATGAGAGTATTGAGATCCGGCCCAATCCAACACGAAAGTAAAGTTACAAAGTAAACATGGCCTGCTTTTTACAACTTCGAAGAAGCATGTACAAATCTGTAAATTTCCACTATTATAGAACAATGTGCTTACCTAAAAACTTTGCTTCTGTGTTGTGTTTTAATGTGCTCAAATTTAGCTGGGATGACGATCGTGATGTTAATGAACAGAGCTGAAATTTTTTAATTTAATCATATAAATGTGTTGTTTTGTACTATACAATTTAATAAATCCAATATTCTAGACAAATTGTACAATATTTTTATTTTAATAGCTCGTTTGATTTTTTCACTCGAAGCCATAAGTAGTCCATTGGGCAGAGTTGGAATTCCTTGTGGACATAGTCATAAAAAAGATTTTCGAGTAAATTTCATAATATTCCTAGTACCTCATCTAGTTCATTGACCTGACACATACTTTGTAACTTATTAATATATTTATTAGAAGTGGGCGTTGGTAAAAGGCAAAACTCAATTTCATGGTTATGCATAAATCGCAAGAAATAGCACTATTGTTTTTCATAAAGTTACAACCACATAATGATAAACAGAAACAACTGCTTACTACAAATATGATACCATGGGATTGTCATCTCGGCATCCAGATCGGAACACCTACATTTCTATTACCATTAATTGTTATGGATGATTACCCACAAATATCTTTTACACACCTGATTTAATTCATCTATAATTATTCATACTATATGCATGTAATATACTAGTCATTCTAGAGGTCTGGGTTATGTGGTGCAATTACGTAGTTTAGTGGACATAACTGATGGTCTACTTTTTAAAAATGTTACATGTACATTCACACTATTGCGTGCACCTGTCCAAGCTAGCCTAGGATATGGCTATTACCGCGATAGGAATGGGCTACTATTTATAAAGATATCCTACTAAATTTATCCCATGGTTGCTAAACTAGATGAGCGGGGACCCATGGACTTTTTAAGATATATTTTATGCTCTCCTGCATTCTGAGACACCTCTGTTTGTCAGTTTAAAGGCCTGTCAGTGGGATATTTCTGGGGGTAGTGGCCATTAAGGATGGTAGTTGAGCCACTGTTGGTAGATAGTTTGCAGACAAGGTAGTGCTGATAATAGTAATTGATTGTTGGATCTGGATCAATTGGATGGTAAATCAGAATTTGATTTAACTATTGTAAGAGCTCTTAGTATGCAAGTTATTCCGATTATTAATGAAAATTCCTCCAACAACTACAGTTAAATGACCTGTATTCAATTTGTTCAAAGCTAAAAATGGGTTCAAATAAAGGTGCCGTTCAAAATTAACAATGCATCTAATTGAAACAATGCCGAATCTTGTAACAAAGACAACATCCGTGTTAATCTAAGATTATTGTAAATTGTAAAACTGGTTTTCTGTATCCTGTAGTGCGAGACAATGTAAAAGGTTGCATGTTTCGTTGTGGAATCAATTTCAAAATCTTCTGCGTGTTGTTGTTCCTTTATTTATGAACAATTGACGACGGATTTTGAGTTATATACCAAAGTACTCCGTCACCGTTTATTACTTTTAGTATTGACCTACTTAAAAATATTCCATCACGTGACATTCTATATTGAGACAAGAATATTTTAACGAAATTATCAAAAGTTATTTGATAGCACTGTATAATTACATCACGTGATAATTTTTACGACTAAAAACCAAAACCTGATCCACTTGGTTGTCATTCAAGATAGACTGAGAGTGCGATTAGTGTCATTAGATATATTATCTATATTCATTCATTAAGTGTTCCAGAGTTCAGTCATTCAGCCACTTTATTGATCAATACACTAGTAAGTATATTTTTTCCTATATATTCTATAAGTATTGTGTTTAGTAGTCACTGTTAGAATTTCACTATAAAGTATATTTCCTACTTATATATTCTTTAAGCATTGTGTGTAGTTTTCACTGCAGGAATTGTATGATAACTTATTGATAGTGTTTCTGATATGCCAAAATTTCTAAAGTCCAGCCAACATGTCTCGAGAAGCAAATTACGTATATTTAACGCAATGATGTCAATTCTTTAATAGAATAATTATGAATGTATTTTAGCTCTACTCCACTATGTTTTGAATGTCGCTAGCTATCCTGATGTCATTCTGCGACACGGTTTGTCTACCCGATATTGAAAGATAAATTTCTTGTTAAATGATATCATTATCGGGTTTAGATTCATTCATGTTTAAAGCTATCTTGTCCTATAAATTTTAAGATCACAAAACTTAACTAAGTGTGTTCGTGGCATGGTATAATGTACGACCCCTCTGCTGTAACGATTTAAATCTTGGCATGCCATTTCAATTGATTTCATTTGTTATGGAATAGTTTCGTACTAGTATAAAATTGAAGTTTGCATAATGATTGGGGCGGAGGTGGTCTTGAAGTTCTGCCCGTGGACCATTTGCACATTTATAATTATCTTGGGTGCTTAAAAATCATAGTTTTCCTTCAGATATCATGACAGAGGCTCGAGATGCATCAGTTCGACTACCAGAAGACGAAAGGAAGAAAGTCTTTGATGAATTTAAGCAATCTTCGCATGTCGGAGGTCATAATCTGGAAGGATCACAGATATACAGAGCCAGTTTAAACAGTCAACAAGTTACTGGCATATTTGACGAATGGGTCGGTGGTGATGGATTTATGATAAGGTAGTGCTTTCTTTGCAAATTTATGCCCGAGTCGCCGATCTGGTGTCGTAAATTTGACGTATAAACTCAAGTATTAAAAAGTCATAAGCTCTTCAATAAAGAAACATTTCGTCTAGGCTTATCAGAGTGAATTTACGCAACAAATTTGAAAAAAGACTGCGGCATAATACGTTCTATTTATGTTTTATGGGTTTCATAGCGGGCAACCGTGTAAATGTGGTCACAGCTGTTCTATTGCATGAAGTCTATTATATCGATTGTCGCAAAGTCAATAATTTTCATCATACTTTTTTTCTTTAAGGGCATCGGTTTGTCGTAAGATCGATTAATTTTTACCTTACTACTTTTTCTCGAAGGATATGGAAACAGTTGGTTATAGAGGACCAGAGTTGACAGCTGAACTGTTATCTAGATTAATTCCCACCAATCGTGATCAGTATAAGATAATAGATGCTGGTGCAGGGTCAGGTCTCTCTGGTAAAGAGGTAAGATCTTTTCTAAAGGCAACACAAATACTCAAGCAGTAATGGCTCAACTACTATAGGGATGATTCAACCACGCCACGTCCACCCACCCCCCCCCCCCTTTTTATCTTTAAAAAAAAATATAGATTAATCCGTACAGTATGGAAATAATGTCATCTTTGGGATTCCATTTGGTGATGTCATGAAAATACTGGCCACAATTCCTTTACTCCTTGATAATGATGCCATAATATTCGTCTTTAATTCGCCATTAATATTAAAGTTCCTTGAGCTTGTTTCTAGCAATAAACCATATTCTTTACAATTCCATTTGACAAAGACAGCTGAAATGAAACCCAATTGACAATCTTTTATAGAACTAATAATAGGAAGATAACTTTATGGAAAATTTATTAGTTAAAGGATATTAACCTTAGGTTCTAAATATTTGATTACGACTGTAATATATCTGTTAAGTCTTCAAGATTGGAAATTGATAACAGAGCTTTAGTAACGATAAAGAGAATTATAAATGATAACAGAAGCTTAAAACATTAACTATCTTATCATTTAACTCAACAGTAATGCCATCCCTATTTCTATACTTCTATACTTCTGTGTCATTTTGACGCTGTGTCATGGATCAAAATAGATTATTAAAAGCAGAAAAAGCTTTTAAGCTTTACATTCTCAAAAAATCCATTTCTATAATTACCATACATAACCACTGTTAAAATATGAAGCGATATAGAAATACCACTATTAAGATATAGAGCGATATAGAAATACCACTGTTAAAATATGAAGCGATATAGAAATACCACTGTTAAAATATGAAGCGATATAGAAATACCACTGTTAAAATATGAAGCGATATAGAAATACCACTGTTAAAATATGAAGCGATATAGAAATACCACTATTAAAATATAGAGCGATATAGAAATACCACTGTTAAAATATAGAGCGATATAGAAATACCACTGTTAAAATATGAAGCGATATAGAAATACCACTATTAAAATATAGAGCGATATAGAAATACCACTATTAAAATATAGAGCGATATAGAAATACCACTGTTAAAATATAGAGCGATATAGAAATACCACTATTAAAATATAGAGCGATATAGAAATACCACTATTAAAATATAGAGCGATATAGAAATACCACTATAAAAATAATGCTCAATACTTCGATTGTAGAGCGATATAGAAATACTACTGTTAAAATAGTTATTATTAAATATTCAAGTTCTGTTTTAATATTTCTATTTTATTATTATGCTACTTTCAGTTGAAAAAAAAAGGTTTTACTCAGATTGATTGGTTAGATCCTAGTGGTATGTCAGTAGAAGCTGCTAAGAAAACAGGAGCCTATACTCGATTTATCGTTGATTATTTATCAGAAAGACCTCTTGATGTCCAACCAGGTAATTTCGGAAGTTGATTGACAGAGCAATGGTCAGATGGACCTGATTTAGTGATGAGTTGATAACATTCTCTCAGATGCTGCTACATTTTAGCAGTGGTTGAATTTCTATTTGGTCTTAGAATCTGCCAGCTGCAAGGTCAGCCTATGTCTATTTAAGCAGGTTTAGGATATTGACTGAAACCTCAGTGACTATTATTGTAAGATACAACAACAATATGTCCATGTTGTGATCTGATAAAACGTTTCTGAAAATATCTTACGGTAGGTATAGTATATCTCGGTGAAAAATTCCATACATACGACAAATGTAAATTTTATTTAAGACAATTTACTATGTAGGCCTATAAGCATCTAAATACTGTCGAATTTACAGAACAGTTCGCATTTGATCTCGCATCTGCTGTCGGGGAATTTCAAGTTGTGTGCTGACAATGTAGTATCGTTCTCTCATATTCATGCCTGAATTATAGGATGACGTTTCTTGATTATTTTAGATACATATGATATAATGGTATGTGTTGGGGCTTTCTTTGAAGGTCTGATACCGTTAACAGCCTTTACTGAAATGATTAGAGTAGTAAAGAAAGGTGAGTGATCAGAATAAAAGGGGGATAATAGATGATCTAATAGGATACAGGCCGAAAGTAAATATGGCGAAAAACAGACGAAGTGTTAAACAATTCCTTTGGAAAATGTATCTTTAAATCAAGATGTCTAGACTGGTTCATTTAATAGTTATAAGAACTAAGTCTATAAAGGATACCACATTACTCTATTGGTCATCGTCATCGAGCAATAAATGACTGTAAACCTATTTCGTTTGACCAAGGTAATATTTTGATTTTTTGTTTTCAGGAGGGTTAATTGTAATAAGTATATCCGAGTCCAGTTTGGAAACTTGTAAGGAATATAAGGGGAAATTCATACCTAAAATACAAGAACTGATCGATGCCAAGCAATGGGAATTAGTTGAAAGAACAAAAGTAGAAAAATACGTTGAAGACATTCCTGCAACTTTCTTTGTTTTAAAAGCCTTACGATCTGGATAAAGATTGATATATAGCGTTCGAATTAAACATCTTCGATAACTAAGACTGTCTTTTGAGAAACTTGTGGAATCTTTGAACACAAACAAGAAATTTTTATACAATTAAATACTAATAATAGTAATAATAACTTTATAAGGCAATTTATCCAACAAAAATAACATAAAAAGTATAATGATTAGCCATTTGATTCGATTAATTTCGATTTAAGTACAGAAACGTTATGCAGCTTTTGTCATTTCTCAAGCAAATTAAAACTTTGAAAATCTTCAAGAAATTATATGTAGGCCTACATACAATTTACAAAGACTGTTCAAGTTCAACAAAACCAAGAAATATCTGATCTGTTTTATGTGTTATGATACCAGACCGTTCCGAACTGTGCAGACTTTAATGTGGTGCAATGTGGCACTAACTTTACTTACGCACCATAGGATACATCATTTATTTATGTTTTATCTACATTTTTCTTTTATTGTCAAGTGATAATTTCAATGATATTTAACCATAATGATATTATATTAATAATTAAAATCTTCGTTAGTAATTCACCCCTCTCCGTCCTTCCAACCCCATATCAGTGTCCGAGTTAAGACGCAGATTCCCGAACAGATTCCAGCAAATCAAGCGAAAGATAATCGAAATCTTCATTTCATAAATGAACATTGCTCTCTTTTGTTTGAGATCTTCTCATTCTCATGTCTTGCTTAGGAAAATACGATTAGCCTCACTGATCGAAGTGTCAATTCTTTCAAGTGAATATTTGAGCATTCTTAAAAATATATTCAGTACTAGCAATATTTGCCAAGGGTCATCATGGCCCATTTCATCTAGTGAGTAATTCGCGGGGATAAGATAACACTGGCTTCATCCAATCAGTCACTGTCGCCTTATCTTCTTAACCTATAAATATAAGGTACAATGAACAAACCTTCTTTTCAGTTTGACGACTTAAATCGTGCCTATATATTATAGTAAGTGCGTTTTTCTCTCTTAGTGTGATTAATATACTAAAATCAAAAAATACACTCTCGGCTGATACGACCTATATTAGCGTCAGTAGCATATGGATATGGTCGAAAATGCACAATCATACATCTTGTTTCATCTGCGAGATCAGATGCACTCGCTTAATTTAACATCTTTTTCATTAATTACAAAGCTTAAAAAATGAAATGAAATGGATGGACTTGTCAATCCTACTTTTCTGCACCATGTGGGCTAATGAAGACGCATGCAGGGTGCAATGAGGGAAATTTTGCCAGAACAGTGGCATAAGCCTGCTCATTTTCGATTTCAAGAGCTTTAAGAAGGTTGTTATACTCGATATTGCTTACTTTCCTATTTGCTTCAAATGGGTTAATCCACGTGGTGCAGAAAAGTAGGATGTAAAACCCCATTATTTCATTTCAAATGAGTTATTATCTTTGACCTCATATTTTGACCTCATTTCCATATAAGTTGAGATGAACTTCTTTGTAAAGATTGTCATAAGTGAATACGTTTACATTGGTAAAATCTATGTCACTGGGCCCAATGGCTATCCCATGAACTAAAAAGAAAAAGAAACACCGCTGAGAGAGACAACTTGGGTCAGTTTTCAATCTCGTTACCCTGCTACAGTAATTGCCTCTGTCATTATTTAGAAAAAAAAAATATTTCTATGCCCAAGTCACTATCCATAGCATGTTAGTTAGGCCATTATCGTAGTAGGGTGACAATATGATAAATTCAATTCAATAAAGCATCGCAATTAAACAACAAACCTAAAAGATGTTAACATTAATAACAAGTTAAAATTCGATAAGTTATTCCCCTTGTATACGCATATGATGATAACCGAAAAAGGCTTCTGAAGAGTTTAACAAATAATTCAAAATATCCACTAAATTCACCATAAAATTCTACGCCCGCTTTTTTCTGGGCTTAAAACCATCCGAGTTAAGTCTGAAATTTATCATCCTAGCTGGTCCCTCTGTGCTTTCAGTTCTCCAAATAGAATTCTTGATGAAATCTGATAAAGGATTCAGTAGATCTACATTACAGGGTCTAGGTGTGTGAATTAACACTCTGATTAATTTAATTTCCCAGCAGATATCAACATGTCAGAAGATAATACTCGAGATCAGACTCGATTGAATGCAGACGAAGCGAAGAAGATCTTTGAAGGCTTCAATCTTAAGCGAAATGGCGACTCTCATGACCTGTGGGAGGCACAGAAATACAGGTCCCAGTTGAATAGCAAAGAAACCACAGCACTGTTTGATCAATGGTATGGTGAAGGAGGAAGTGGTCCTTATGAAAGGGTACGTTATATAGTTCCATACATTTGATTTGTTATCATTTGCATTTGACAACGGTCACACATATTCATCCTGAATGGTCCTGCAATACGAACTGGTTAAATTGCTACAGTTTGTTTTGCTTCTATGTTGAAGTTTTACATATATTGAACATTCAAAGAATGGGCAACCCTCCAACTCATTTCCCCAAGGCCATTACACCTTGAATTTCCAATTTAATGCACAAAAGTAAGAATAAATTTAATTCTATTGGAATTTAGAGATGCAGTCCAACATTGCCATTGTCTCTCTTCATTGTCAAAATCAGCTGTCAAACGGTAAAGTGTAATGATCCTGCACTTTGTTTTTGAACATCAGCACACTAAATTGGACATTTGATCCTTGTAATATCTTCAGGATGTGTTGGGATTAAAATATAGAGGACCAGAATTGACAGCAGATCATCTAGCTAGGTATTTAAAGGAACCACGAGGCCAATACAAAGTCTTGGATGTTGCTGCCGGATCAGGTTTATCCGGAACCGAGGTCAGTTAGATTTCGTTAACCCCAACTTTAACTGAAATTGGGTGTCTTCAATATTTGATAGTACACAATCTTTAAAACATCTTTAAAAACTTTATCTTAGCAAGCCCAATTTAAATTGAGACATTATAATTTTGGATTCACCTTCAAATATGCTGGGAGCAATTGACATTTATTTTCACGTGTAGGAGGCCAAGTACTATGTCAACTTTGTTATTGGTCGGTTATTGGTCTGGCAAAAGGTCTAGTCGCGAGGTTGTTTGACAAGCATACCCTGCCTCATATAATTACACTTCTGACGACTATGAACAAAGCACTTGTTGGTTTCATCGACCAGTTGTGTCCTCAAACCTATCTTATTTCAGTTAAAGAGAGCTGGTTTCACACATGTCCATTGGTTAGATCCTAGTGGAAACGCCAAGGATATCGCTGCCAAGACTGGTGCTTATGAAAAATATTTCCTGGATTACCTCACAGACAAACCTTTAGATATACCTGCCAGTAAGTAGAATCACTCATTTAGTTATTGTTTTATAATAAGGTTTTGTCAAGGTTTGGTTCCTCGAGCAAGGGACCATCAGGGTACCTGTCGATACCTTAATTTGTAAGGAGGGTTTCAATCGCTAATACTGTAGCTGGATTTGCATTGTTTTTATTATTAAACACCATATTTTAAATACTACATTTCTGTGTCTTTGCAGTCATTAATATTTCATTTTGTTGACCTAGTAAACGATTTAAAGTTTACCCCAAAGGTGAAAATGTTGGAACGTGTCTTATCATAACTATAAGGGTGACATAAATACCTTGGGGGTCTTTCGTTTGTCTTAAACTTTGAGAACATTTCAGATACTTATGATGCTATAACATGTGTCGGTGCATTTTTTGAAGGGTGTCTTCCACTTACATCATTTATAGAGATGTTAAGGGTTGTTAAACCCGGTGAGTGTTTATTAGTTCTTCGTGATTAGATGTGATAATTTGATCCTTATGTATATTTTCCTGAAGTTGACACCGACAGACCTACATGTCTCGGAAGCTTATACAACTTTTCAGTTTACAACAATGCTTTAGTTAGAAAGACTTCAAGATTGACGCTTTCTTATATATATCAGTGCAGGATAATGGGACGCAAAGTTTTAATATTAATTATGATATTTTTTAAATTTCAGGTGGTTTCATTGTTGTAAGTATATCCACAAAAAGTTTAGAAACATGTAAAGAATATAAAGGACGATTGCTACCACGAATTGAAGAATTAGCTGACCAAAAGAAATGGGAAATAGTAGAAATAATTGAAGAACCCCACTATCTTAAAGATGTACCAGCCGTATTCTATATTCTAAGAGTTTTATAAATGGTTTAAATTTTGCTAATGTATTGTCTTTATCATTATATTTTTATCTATTTGATTAACGATTTGTCATAAGGTAATTTTCATTGGCCTTCGATCGGATCATGATCTTGTTCAAGTTCATTAATGCCACATCATGAATTTTTAACAAAGCTAATGTTTTGTATTGTTGTGTATTGTCTTAGGCTACCTTTCAAATACTCTTTTGAAATTGTATTCTCAAAATTTCAGTTTTAAAAATGAATTGAGCGTTTTTACGTATCATTAGTTTCTTCCATATAAACCCACATTTTTCTACCAATACCAGTGTCATCTTGGCAATCCCGTGTCATCTTGTCAATCCCATACCAGCGCCATGATGGAAATCATGCAAGCAACAGTGCATTAAAATCAGTATGCTTTTGAGTGTGACAAATATGGTTGCTCTGATTTAACAAACTCCAAATTATATTTTCACTCTACATCACAAACATAATTCAAGTCGTCATATTTTATTGTTCTAAGTAATGTATCCGGAGGAACAATGGTGTATGATGTTTACTTGCAGTAACAAAATTGGTAGGTTGTCAGAATTTTTTCGGGAACAAATAGTGTATAGAGAAGAGCAAAATAGGTCAAGAAAGTGGGATATAATGGAAAATTTTTAATATTTTATCTTATCTGTGACAACCACTAATCCAGTAAACCAAATACAGGTCATACTGACAGAGAACATTGACCTATAACTAATACTTTCCTTCAGATAAGGTGTGTGTGAAAATTTGTCAAGAACTGGGTGTTCCTTGGAATCATAAGGTATGAGGTCGAGTTGGGATTACCAAAGGCGCTCACGGCACCAAACACTTAAGAACTCAAAGATAAGATATTTGACAGTGGAGGACTGCCGCTCTAGCCTCAGTTTTGGAGGCAGCCACTGCTGGGCTACAGAAAACCCCCCACACCAGCCGTAAATGAAAGAGGGGCAAAGAGGTTTGTTTACTGGAATATACTGGTTTTCAATCTTTTGATAAGCATCAGTACTCATATTATGCAATATTTCCCTTCTTGAACATTGCGTGGCATTTTTAGTCTTCATTAACCAAACCAGTGCAGAAAGGTAGATAAACCTACCGTGACTTCGTGTGTGAATAAAACCACCAGAACACAGTTCAGTCTATTCTCTTTTTTTCATAGATTCACAAGCTTTAAAGAGATAGATATTTATTGTATTGTTCGCGCTTAATGGTTTAAACTGGATCCCTATTGTGAGATGGAATGACGGACCAGTTTAATAATGGTGTTAGTATTCAAAGGGAAGCAACACACTCTGGATGGTATAATAAAATCCTTAATAAATCTACTGATGTTATATACAACAAACCATAACATAACACTATTAATACTCAACATAATAACCATGTTAATTACATATTCATCAATTGATATTTCTCGTCCTGAATATTGTTCTTTAACCTTTTAGCCATCAACATCATTAGCATATCATTAGCATAATTGCATATTTAATGATGAAGACGATAAACAAACTATTTTGTAGTTTAGTTTACAGTCTAATTTCACGTTTTTTTCCTAATCTGAGTTTTTAACTTAGTAAAGCTTAAAAATTAACATACGAGTATCACAGGGGTAATACAGTTGGATACATCTCATTCTTTCTTAAGACATTTTTCTAGATTTTCCAACTTTTCTGTCAGTTTTTCCTGATTTTGTATTGATTTATCCAGAGTATTTGAAATACGTGAGATCATGTGTGATAGTTCTATTAATCCGACTGTAGATTCTTCTTTATCTGCCAAGGTTGCTCGTGCCGACCGCATCTCTCGTACAGCCTGGCGTAACTTCCACCGATAATAACTGTACTTAGCCATAGACTTACTTTCGCGACGTCGTAACATCCATAAACGCAACGAACATTTCACAACATCCGCCGCAGCATTTTTGTGCTTATTTTCTAAATGAATTCGTGATAAAAAGTTGAAAACATATCTTTCAGATCTTGTTTGCTCCAAGCGTTTAGCTATAACAGCGACTAACAAAGCGGTAGAGGCCAAACCACACAAACCTGTCATAATGGCTATATAGCGTCCACAGTGGGTTCGCGGAGTAACATCACCATAACCAACGGTCAGAAATGTGATGGCTGATAGCCACATTGATTGAGAGAACCCCTGACTTTCCTCGGTTTTAGTATAATACATTTCACACGTTCTCATGGACCAACAACTCACAGTGTACATGGCCAACATGACAGTCACAATCAGTGTTCCTGGACTCTCAGACATGGCTGATTTAAACACAAAATACAGGTTGATTTTAACTCTACTCAATGCACCGATGCTTTGAGTAGAGGGATCTGTTAGAAGACGACTATGAACGACAGCGAATTTTCCCACGAGATACAGTCTCAACATCATCATGACGGACAAAATGCCGTCGATACTGGCTAAACGTGTATGACCAGTCGGAGAAGTAAAGGTCAGCTGCACATTTCCAGGGAAAGGATGAACGGCGCAAACAATGAGTTCAAGAATCCATCCTACAAATGACCAGAATGGAGTCACTGCTAGAGGATCGTCTACACCACCGTCCAACATACGGATTTCCATACCAGTATGATAGTATATACAGATTGCTATAAGTAACACGCCAGTTGTGATTGAGGTAAATGTCTTTAAGATCAAGGAAAGTGTGGAAGATTTTTCGAACTGATTAAGATAAAACAATTCATTCTCCAGAATCATTAAAGCGATTCCTGTCATTCCCATAACAAATTCCAGATCAACCAACCACCTCCGTCTTAAAATTAGCTTCTTACGCTGATCTAGTCTGGTTCCAAGGTTTTTAAAGACGTTGCTGGCATTAGCGGCTGCAATTTGAGATCCTGGTTGAGGTACGTCCATTGTGTGATACTGCTTGTTTCGTCGTTTGATACGGTCTGGCACCAGTGGGATTGTTTGGTTGGTACTCTCATTCTGTGACATCTCCTCCTACAATTATATTTCAAATATGCATCATTTCAAGAAAAACAATCATTTATAACAAAAATAACAACCTGGGTTCACAGGGACTCTTTCTCACCGCTGGTCTATGACCAAACCTTTTCCATTGCCAGCTTGGTCGACAGGAATAGTGAGTAAATATAAATATGACCTATTTAAGGTCCCCAGGCTTCGACACACCGACGAGATAAAACCATCGACCGCCTTTAAGCTCGACGTTACTGAGCAAGTGATGTAAATATTCAGACGCCTAACACATACACATGGAATAAAAAAAAGCCTCTACGATAAAACATTAAGTCTACTTGGTAGTAGTCCCATATGCATATAAATTGGAAATCATGACGAATCAAGATTTAAATTCACGCCAAAATCAAAATCGATGCTCTCACACAATCAAAGCTGGATAGATGCTGTAAGGCGATTGTACAAATTTATTTCTGAAATGAAATTACAGTTGCGTTGAATCCTATAATAAAAAAGCCAAATAAGTGATAAATGCAATAAAGCTGCAATACCTTCTGATTAATTAAAAGACATCCAGAACATCAATTACTGCCAGTAAAAATAAACCTAAAATTCTTCCACAAAGTTTCCTTTCATTACAAGTCTACAACCCACATGCTCGTTAATACTTACTTAGTTTTATTAAGAGAATTAGCTATCTGTGACCTTCCCAACAAGGGATAATTCCATTTTCATTATCCACAACAATAAAGCTTATTGATTTTATTTCTGTCCAGGTCGGTGTGAACACTTTCATCATTCACGACTCACTAAACATCTTAATTATTCAATATTCTAATATAATTGTCTTCAGTTCAACTTATTCATAGCCCAATAAAGTATAGCTGAAACTCAGATTCCCAATAAATCCAATGAAATTGGTGATAATTTTAAAACAAAAATACAAGCGAGGAGTTTTTTTCAATATTGTTGATAACTAGCCTTTTTTGTCTCGAGGTCAAAAACAATGACATTTTTCCTTAATTTCATAAATAAAATAAAGACATACCCTAATTTGCATCACAATTACATTTGCATGACAAAGAACTAAAAAGACATATGAAAATGTGTTATTGTCTTGAATTCTCTGTAATCAGTCAAAATATATCGAATCTTCTGTACAGTATTGCTTAGGTACTTCAGTAAAATTTAAATTTGCACCATACCTGTTGTATTAGATGGTTGTTTGTAATGAACATTTTAAATGTAAATACAATGTATAGTTTTAAATCAGATCTCTTCTTTCAAATAATATAAACATGGCCAATGTAAACATAATGAGCTCAGTTCACCTTAGATCGAATCAGAAAAAACATTTAACTTTATTTGTGGGTAGTTTGATTCAAGTAGATTCATATTCAGATCTTAAACCTTAGTCTCAAACAATCGTGGTATTTTTGGGCGAGTTTTACCCTTGAAACCTTAAACTTGATTCAATTTCGACCAGTACAAAAACAACATTCTTGTCACAAACATTCTATAGGATCTCATACTAGGCTAGATCATTATAAATGAAAATTTACAATACAGAACGACAGGAACAAGAAGAAACTGTTTGACACAAGTCCATTCTCCAATACCAAAGTGGCATCTTTGCCATCTGTAAGTTAGATCAAAAATGTAGTACTTACGATGTGTAATCGAGTAACTACTAAAAATCATCCTTTATCTCGCATAATATAATGCGTAATGCTATATCCACTTTTGAATTTGAAAATAGGCACCTAGTTTAGTACGACATATGTTATCCGTACAGAATTTTGTGTATAGAATGGAATAAAAGGAGATGGTAGAATGTATAATAGCCCAGAAGGAGGTACATTGAAATACATATGACCTGGAACACAAGCTGTGGCCTGAACTATAAAACTAATATGCAGTCTTCGCAATATCAATAAGTGGACAATAACTTTTCAGTTTATTCTTTGAAATCAGTTCCTTTTCTGATATTTTACTGATTCAATCATTGAAACGACCTGCTTCTTGGTAACATATTTATGGGAACAGCCGTTGAATTGTTAATGAAAGCAAAGTTTTACCTTTGACTTTACCTAAAGTTACAGGCCATTGTAGCAATTGTATTCCATAAAGATATAATATCATTCCGAGAAACCATTGCATTCTTTCTCGCAATGGCATTAGCAAAGAAAGATTATACTTTTGTTATATAGATTATATAGTTTGTTTCTGAAGATCAGAACAGTATGTGCCTGTAGATTAGAACGGTATGTATCTGTAAATTAGAGCAGTATGTATCTGTAGATTAGAGTAGTATGTATCTGTAGACTAGAACAGTATTAGTCTGTGGATTAGAGAAATATGTATGATAAGAACAGTACGTGTCTGTAGATTACAACAGTGTGTATCTGTAGGTTAAAACAGTACGTGTCTGTAGATTAGAACAGTATCTGTCTGTAGATTACAACAGTATATATCTGTAGATTAGAACAGTGTGTATCTGTAGACTAGAACAGTATTAGTCTGTAGATTAGAGCAATATGTATGATAAGAACAGTACGTGTCTGTAGATTACAACAGTGTGTATCTGTAGGTTAAAACAGTACGTGTCTGTAGATTACAACAGTATCTGTCTGTAGATTACAACAGTATGTATCTGTAGATTAGAACAGTGTGTATCTGTAGATTACAACAGTATGTATCTGTAGATTAGAATAGTGTGTGTCTGTAGATTACAGCAGTGTGTATCTGTAGATTACAACAGAATATGTCTGTAGATTACAACAGTATGTATCTGTAGATTAGAACAGTTTGTGTCTGTAGATTACAACAGTAAGTGTCTGTAGATTAGAACAGTATGTGTCTGTAGATTATAACAGTATGATTCTGTAGATAAGAACAGTACGTATCTGAAGATTAGAACAGTATGTATCTGAAGATTAGAACAGTATGTGTCTGTAAATTAGAACAGTATATGTCTGTAAATTAGAACAGTATATGTAAATTAGAACAGTATATGTCTGTAAATTAGAACAGTATATGTCTGTAAATTAGAACAGTACATGTCTGTAAATTAGAACAGTATGTATCTGAAGATTAGAACAGTATGTATCTGAAGATTAGAACAGTATGTGTCTGTAAATTAGAACAGGATATGTCTGTAAATTAGAACAGTATATGTCTGTAAATTAGAACAGTATATGTCTGTAAATTAGAACAGTATATGTCTGTAAATTAGAACAGTACATGTCTGTAAATTAGAACAGTATATGTCTGTAAATTAGAACAGTATATGTCTGTATATTAGAACAGTATGTGTCTGTAAATTAGAACAGTATATGTCTGTAAATTAGAACAGTATATGTCTGTAAATTAGAACAGTATATGTCTGTAAATTAGAACAGTATATGTCTGTATATTAGAACAATATGAGCCTGTAGATAAGAAAAATAAGTATCACGCTTTATAGCTTTTACAATATCAAAGATTTATATGTATTTACAAATATTTTAATCCACAGAAAAATAAATGTCGCTTTAGCATAAGAATCGAAATAACTTTCACAAATACTAAACCAAACTATCAAAAGTGTACAATGGTGTCGTTGAAATCGTTTAAATTATTTTCATACTATCAGTAAATGGCACAATATTAAGATAAGAAAACAAATAATACCTGTAATGATACATCCTCTAATGGAAAATATTCTAATTTACGTTTTCTTGACTTCATCCTATTTTTCTCAAAAAAGTCAATAAATTTCAATCTACTCACCGTCTTTTGTCCAATCGAATAAACCCTACAGTTTAAACGTCACCATATTTCCTCTATAACCTATTCAAGCACTGAATTTAGCCAGTAAACCAGTCAATAGAATACGTTTACATATAAATACAATTATAAATGTTTAATATTTCCATAAGAGATATTAGCCGTATAAGACTTTGTACAACATATGTCGCTAAAGTGTGTAGTGTTTAAGAATTTTAAGTGGTTTCTGATCAATTCTTATTTTTTTCTGTTCATAACAACAGCTGTATTACATTCGTTTTCTTGTAAGTCAGGACATTCATTATTGTTCTTATTCCGTGGCTTTTGTCTCTTAAGACGATTCCCGCTACAAAACTAACATAATTAATTACTCTTGAGAACAGTTTAGCTCCAACTTGTCGGAGAAGTCGTTTCAGAATGCTTTCCTCACTTATCACGAGATCCAACCATATTCCTATACTATTAGAATCTATATATTTTATTGTTTAGATTCATTCATATGTCGAACAAAACCATGGTCGTAATACAGTAAATTATAAAGCACATGCTTTCAGATGACAGAACACAAGTAAGGTGATTTGTAGTGTTCTTCAATCCAAATGCACATCTAGTCTGAACTATTCTTTTAGACGGTCTCTTTTGACTGATTTTATTTCCATTGAGGCCAATTTATATTTTAAAGCTGGTCATGCTTTGATGTTCGACGAATCAGGCTCTTCGAGGGAATGATCTTGACAATAATGGTTTATAAGTTCACGAGAATGTAGGTCTTGGAGAGAGGTTACGTATTTGGTTAATACGTGAAATCAACTCTATTTAAATTATTTGGCTCATCCGTTTATCCACCATTCATCATACCGTTCAAAGCAATCCCTTCTTGTTCTACTTTAAGGATATTTGTAAGTGGATAATGTTATTTATATGATATTTGTGACTTGTCATCCAGTATTATTTATGGTCGAGCAAAGATGTTTGTGAGTCCTATTCAAAAGATAACCATGACATGAGCGTCATTGCTCGACAATGCAAAAGATCAACCATTGTTATAAAACGGAAAATAAATTCTGAATATAAAATCAATCTATAAATGTGATGAGCATGTTTTG